CTCTCCTTTTCATTTGGGCTTGCCAATGGTCCTCCATCTTTCCCTAGTTTCTGAGTTGCAGTTCTTGCGACTATTAGTGAATAAACTTGTTTTATTCCATAAAATAAGTAGCTATTTTTGTGCCCCTATCACCTTCTCTTATTCCCCTTTCATCCTTAAAAAGCCTCAGTTTGGGGCCCTCCCTGGTGGCGCAGCAGGTTAAAGCACAGCACTAAGAAGCTAAATAAAGCCACTTCACAAGAGTTGATTCCCCGGCCAAGGAGATGCCCACATGGCGCAGCAGACCTCTCCTGACCCGCCCGCTGCTCCCCTCAGCACTGTACTTTGTCGATCTGCCTGTTCTGCTCCCCGCTCTGTCTCTGGTGAATCCTCTCACCGCCCCTGAGACTCTGGCCTGTATCCCAGTTTTGTATGCACAAATAAATAAATCTTAAAAAAAAACAATGAAAACTCGGTTTGGTTATCAATATCTCCTAGTTTATACTTACTTTGCTTTATCATTTTTTTTCTGCTTTGTTTCTTTATATTACTTATATGTGAGATCATTCAATATTTGTCTTTATTTTCTGGCTTACTTTGCTCCACATAATCCCCTGGAGTTACTTACATGTTGCTACCAGTAGTATTTCATCTTACAGCTGAAGAGTATTGCATTGTATGGATATACCCCATCTTCTTTATCTAATCCTCTACGAGTGGGTACGTAGGTTATTTCCATATCCTAACTATCGTCAATTGAGGAACACATAATTCAGATAGATAACCAAAAGTGGGAATGCTGAATCATACAGTATTTTCATTTTTCAAAAACATTTTTATTTTACATCATTCTTCATTTTGTGCATTTTTTCATCTCAATTATAATCTCTGTGGACTTCCACCACCAATTAACCCATGTGCCATCAGTATAGTCCAGTGCACTCATCCCACCCCACCGTTTTTCCTTTTTAGATCTAGATGGCTTTCCAAAATGGTTGTATTGATTTACATCCCCACCAACAAAGTGGAAGGGTTCCTCTTTTTCCAAATCCTCTCCAACATGTGTTGGCAGTGTGGGGTTTCTCATTGTGGTTTTGTCCCTTTATTAGATAATTGCTGTTTATCCCCACTTCCATACTCGCCATGCCCAAGATCCCCAAAACTCACTGATTAGAGGCTGACAGCCCTCTCCTAGTCCCACTGCCTAGGTTAGCCTTGGCTATTTATTTATTTAGTTTTTAAAGATTTATTTGTGCATACAGAACTGGGGTACAGGCCAGAGGTGCAGGGGTGGCAAGAGGCTTCACCAGAGACAGAGTGGGGCACAGAACAGGCAGATCGATGAAGCACACTGCTCAGGGGAGCAGCGGGCGGGTCAGGAGAGGTCTGCCACACTATGTGGTCAATTGAACTCGTGCTGCTGTGGCTTTAGTTTCTTAGTGCTGTGCTTTAACCTGCTGCACCACCAGGGAGGGCCTTGGCTATTTATTTTTAAAGTTGATAGTTACAATTTCCTCTACCTGGTTGTCCTAGGCGGTCAGATTCAAGGTGAAAGCCTTTCATTTTGCTCAAGTTGGGTGTAGGTCTGGACAGGTAGAAGCTGAGAGACTGGTAGCTAGCTTTACATAGGCGGTGCCCAAACAAAAGTCAACATGGCCCTCCCAGGTGGCGCAGCGGGTTAAAGCACAGCACTAAGAAGCTAAAGCCACTTCAGCATGAATTCAATCCCTGCCTGCCCCGGAGGTGACCACATGGCCCAGCAGACCTCTCCTGTTTCACCTGCTGCTCCCCTCAGCATTGTATTTTGTCGATCTGCCTGTTCTGCTCCCCGCTCTGTCTCTGGTGAATCCTCTCACCACTACCCCCACACCTCTGGCCTATTCCCCAGTTCTGTGTGCATAAATAAATAAATCTTTTAAAAATATATAGAAAGTTTTGCCATTGTTTGGGCAAGAGGAGAAGCGCCTTGGACGAGGATGGGGACTATGTTATATGAATCTACAAGGGCTCATATACAGTGTTAAATAACAGAATCCATGATTTCGAGATTTAAATGGCCTTATCATAAGGATTCATCAGGCAGCATCTTACCTAGACTCTGTAAGAGGTTACACAAAATGGAGGGTATTTATCGACTGGGAGAGGGTGTAATAAGGTTATTAGCAGGAGAAAAGACATTGCCAGTAAAACCATCTTCCCTGGGGCAAACAGGAGTGTTTTATACTACTAATCTGGAAACTGCATATTGATTGGTTTAGGGTTCCACTTTTGTGAGAGAGTGAAACTGCGATGAAATTAGCTATTAAGTATGGGGGGAACTGGTACCTAGTGTTCCATTTACGACTGTTCTAATTTTTTTTTTAACAGTAAGTGCCCAACAAATGTGAGTTGCTATTTTTATGCTGCAGCACAGAGATGGATCGAATAAGGGTGGAGAGGGGAGTGACCCCAGGGCTGCCTGAGGCACTGTTTGGGAGGTGAACAATGAAAATGATGATACTTCTGTGAAATCTCGTTGTGAGGGGAAAGACAGCCACCCCTTATACATGGGTAACACTCTAAAATGCTTAAAATCAATCAGGTAGGGCCCTTCCTGGTGGCTCAGCAGGTTAAAGCACAGCACTAAGCTAAAGCCACTTCCGCATGAGTTCAATCCCCACCTGCCCTGGAGGTGACCCACATGGCCCGGCAGACCTCTCCTGACTCGCCCTCTGCTCCCTTCAGCAGTGTACTTCATGGATCTGCCTGTTCTGCTCCCCACTCTGCCTCTGGTGAATTCTCTTACTATCCCTGCACCTCTGACCTGTACTCCAATTCTGTATGCACAAAAAAATCTTAAAAAAAAAAATCAATCAGATTTTTGCAGAAATTTAAAGAAATCAGATATTTTATAAAAATTCAAATAGTGATGAGCTCTAAATTGCTCCTAAGGAGTAAGATACTTGATTTTCAGGAGATACCTTCTGACACTTTAAAAAAAAAAAAAACTTTATGTATACAAGAACTGGGGTACAGGCCAGAGTTGCAGGGAGGTGAGAGGATTCACCAGGGACAAAGTGGGGAGCAGAACAGGCAGATGTACTGAAATATAATGCAGAGGGGTAGAGCAGGTAAAACAGGGGAGATCTGATGCACCATGTGGGTCAGCTCTCCCTAGCGGGGGATCGAACTCATGCTGAGGTGGCTCTGGATAGCTTCATAGTGCTGTGCTTTAACACCTTTCAGCACCAGTGAGGGCCCCCTTCTGACACTTTTACAAATGCAAAATGTGTGAACTTCTCAGTAACAGAAGTTTCATAAAATTCAGACTATAAGGTAGATGATATGGCATTTGTTGACACAGAGACTGAAGTGGAAAAACAACCCATTTAATAGCATACATATAGAGAATGTATGTGGTTGTAAATTCTAGAGAAAAATGCAGTGGACCAGGAAAATTTACCCTGCATTTTGGGATCTGAGGCATCAAGGACAGAGAAGGGGAAACTTGAAAACATGGAGGGGCACCTCAACATAAGCTTCGTTGGGCACAGTTAGTGATAACTAGAATTGGGTGAGACCTTCCAAATTACATACCTCTGTAACTCGGTGGTCCCTAGGAAAAGGGGGAGTTCCAGGTTCCCTGCCCCACCCAGAAGTAGGGTGGAGCTGAGGAGGAAAAAAAGAGAGAGGAGAAGGAATCTGAAGAGAAGAAGGAAGCAGGAGGGAGAGCCAGAAGACCTGAGGAAGCCACATGGAGCAGCAAGCATGTGATGAAGAAACCGGGCTAGTTTCCTGGCCCTGGACTGGTTAAGGCAGATGTGGGTGAGATACCTGTAGGGAGGTGACTATGGCAGTGTTTATATTGATTTTAATTTTGCTCTTTTCATCCTAGACTTGTCTGGCCACTTCTAACCCTTTTCGATGGGTCCCAGCCAGAAGGTGCTTTGGGCTTGTGGTGGGCTTTCAGGCCTTGCTTTGAACCAACCCCTTTTGGGTTGACTTTTGCCCACGAGGGGATGGGTAATTTCAGGTGTTTGATTTAGACATTATATTCTTTGTCTTCTGTATTGTATACTCACTGTATTAAAGTCCCTTTTCATTAAAGTCTTGTATGTTTTGTCTTGATGCGGTGGATGGCAGAACCTATTTCGATCAGGCAGGTTTGGGGGTTCAGGGGTGCCCCTCTCTCCCTGTAACACTTCTAGGTATCTCTTCTTAGCTTAATAGAGGGGAGAAGGATCTGGGCAAATACAGATGCTTTTGCTAGCTTTCAGAGCTCTTGATACTCTAAAACCAAAACAGTCTGCAGTCTCAGTTATGGTGATAGCCCTCCCAAGCCTTGCCTTAATTGACTTCTTGTTCCCATACCAAGGTAAAAAGAGGTCTACTCTGAGCAAATTGAGGAACACTTTTCTGACCTTCCTAGGGAGACTGACCACACAAGAGCACAGAAAGAAAAGCAATCTTGACAGAAGAAAATAATGCTTTTAAGTTTTGCTGAAATTGTGCTGAAGCCTGGGATTCTTTCAATAAATACAAAAGTATGGAGACCTATTATATGGCTAGCACTGTGCTAGGATCTAGAAATACACAGGAGAACAGAACAGTTGTTCCTGACCTCATTGAGCTGGCAAGTTTATCAAATAATCAAATAATTATGTAACAATAAACTTTGGTCGGGTTATGTAAGAAATTATAAGATACACATATATAAACCATTTATAACTAAATGTTTTCCCATACCTTTAATATATCCCTGGGAAGGCTCCATACGTCCAGATTTCTGGGTCTACAAATCTACTTATTTTTATTTGTTAAATGGAAATAGAGAAAAAGACTTTTAGAGCACTTTTAGAGCAAAATTGAGGCAGAAAGTAGGAAGTACTCACATGCCCTCTATCCCCATCAACAATCTGCTTGTTTCTTTTTTAATTATTTTATAGAGGCTACGCGGAATGCGAAGAGATACTGAAGACACAAAGGAACCTTAGTTCATTAAGTTCCAGTCAGCTTTAGGCTCTGAAATTGTGTCTCCACAAAAACTACACTTCCCAAGGGGCAGCGCGGCACGTCACAGAGCAAGGACGGCGCATGCGTAGCGAGATCCTCCGCTTTGCGACTAAGATCCTAAAAGGGGAAAAAAGCCTGTGGTTCTCGACGCACGAGAGCCTTCGAACACGAGCGCGTTTTCATTCACAGACTTTAAGAAGCGTTCCAGGGACGCGCCCGGCCCACCGTAGCAATTTCCAGCGTGACGTGCTTGTTCCGCCCGTGGCGCGGTAGGTGCCAATGGGTCGCAGTCTGGGAACCAACCCCCGCCCCCACCGGGGAATGGCGGGAGCCGCGGGCCGGGGTCCCCGCTCAGCGTCCCCATTCCCCGGCCTCGCCGAGGCGCTCTCGAGGGGCGTTGCGCAAGCGCTCTGGGCGCGGAGAGGCGGGGCTCGGAGCCGAGGGAGGCCGTCCGCAGGGTCTGCGCTTGCGCGGGCCGCCGGGGGGTCGGGGAGCTCGGCTTGCAGTCTGCGCGGCCGTGGGTGTTGGGGCCAGTTGCGACGAGACGGGGCCTGACGGTAGCCCCCGAATTCTGACAGTTTTTGTTATTTGCTCAAGACGTGTCCCCTCTAGCATATCAACGTCTATTCCTCTACCTCACTTGCTTCCTGGTCTGCCCGCGTCTGCAGGCAAAGGCTTCCATTTCAGCCCACGAGTCCCTGTCTCTCCACTGGTCTCTTCCGAGGCCCCTCTAGCCAGAGCAAGGCAGGGTCTGTCTCATTCACGGAGGTGTATCCCTATTGCCTGGTACAGAATAGGTGTTTGATAAGTACGAATAGATGAACCTATAAAGGGGAAGTACCTCTGCCCCGTGGGAGGGAGTAAGTCCCTTTTAGAGTATGCTGATAGCAGCCAGTTTTGTGGGGTGGAAGAGGAGAGGATATTGAACAGCCCAGTTTAGAAATTGCTGCAGTATTTCTATTTTGAAAGACTGGTTTAAGAGGGTCAGTTCAGAATTCCATTTTTAGGAATTAGTCGGTACCAGACCCTGTACAACTTGCTGGGAACAGAAAATTGAATAAAACTGCATCTCTTTCTACTGAAAGTCTGTGATCTGATGGGAGAGACACGTTAAGTCTCTCAGTGTATCAGTGCCAAGTGGAATGGAAGTTTTCTTAGGGTGCTCTGTAAGCTGCCAGAAGTTTTGATTGCCCTTGGCATCAGGACAGAGAAGGATTTAGGGCAGCCAGATCCCCCTGCCAGTCATTTCTGGCTGTGAGCAGTTTTGTCTTTTACCCCAGAATACCACGCAGATACTATCATGTTCTGTGTATGACATGGCGTGAATAGCAAGGCAAGTACTGCCAAAACAGTGTTAACTTTGCTGCTGTTTGATTTGGACCATGAAAGATGAGTAACCTGGTGGGGAATGGGGTAGGACTAAAGGGCTCCCAGGAGGGCATAACAGGTTGGGCTGGCATCACAGGAGCATGAAAGCCTTGTTTGGGATGGGAGCACTGAAACTGCTCAGTTGTGACAAAAGTTGGAATCAGGAGGAAGAACATTTTAAGAGTTTGCAGCTTTAGAATCCTAGCTCAACTACCTGTATTTCCTAAGTCACAGAACATAGCTTAATCTCTCTGTACTTAAGTTCCCCTATCAAGAGGGTGTGTTTACAGGATTGATGTAAGGTTACATGGGTTTATTTGTGTAAGCTTTGGTGCAGAATCATAATAAGAAAAATCAGTGTCTCTCTTCAACTTTTAAACAAGTTGATGAATAAGAGTGTACATTCTTATTGATGGTGGCTGTATTGAAAGTGTGGGATCTGAGTGTTGTAACTTATAAATGTGGCTTCCCTTAGCATCAGAAAAGCTCTTATTGTCTAAGATTTTGGCAGTAATTTTAAAGTGTCAGATATTTAGATTGAAAATTGCACAAAATATAAAAACCACTACCTACAGGTACTAGATAGCAACCAAAACCAGGCAGTGACCAAGCAATGTTGACCTCAAAAGGTGAATGGCACTGGGAAGTTCCCTGTTTTGAATGCCTTATATGACAAAGGCTGATCTTGGAAAGAATACAGCTACAGAGAAGGCATCCAAATTTGTTATAAAAAAGGTATTTTACTTTACTTACCTGCAGAGGAGAAAGCATGATCACCAAGGTGGAGGCTTGTTCATTGTACTCTGGATGGTCCAATTCCAGTGGCTTCCCTGAGTGGGAAACTGGACTGTGTTGCACACTCCTCTGATACATATTTGGGGGAAAAAGAGAGGGGGAATAAAGCTGGGGTGTTAAAAATACTTTTGCACATATGAGAAAAAACAATGTCACAAGCAATCAAAGAAAAACATTGTTGGACTTCATAAAAATTGAACATGTGCTTTAAAGGACACAACTCAATAGTACAAAAGACAAATATCCAGTAAAAACAAGCAAAGGGATGTTCTCCCAAGAAAATACACAAGTGGCCACTAAGCACCTGAAAAGATGTTCTGAATCATGAGGAAACTGCAAATCAAAGCCGCTGGTTATCATCTCACATCCAGCAGGATGGGCATCGTAGAAAAGACAGATAATAACACATCTTGGTGCAGATGCAGAGATCTCAGAACCTTCACACCTTGCTGGTGGGAATGTAAAGTGACACTCCCACTTTGGAAGCAGACTGGCCATTCCGCAGAAGGCTGCAGAGTTCTCATGTGATCAGCAGTTCCCCTTCTAGATTTACATTCAGACCAATGAAAACATGTCCACCCAAAACATGTCTCCATAATGGTCAAGAATGAGTGATTCATGGCAGCATTATTTATAACCAAAAAATAGACACAACCCAAAAGTCCCTCAGTTGATGAGCTGATATACAAATATGACATAATTGAACAGTGGAATATTATTCAGCAATAAAAGGAAATGAAGACCAGAGTTGGAATATCTAGAGAGACAGGCCGTAGATTAGTGTTTGCCTGCAGCTGGGTAGGATGGGGATACTTGCCAGTTTGACATGTACAATCAGTTGTTTTTAGTATATTCAGAGCTGTGCGACTTCCATCAGTTTGGGGCATTCCATCACCTGGCCAGAAGGCCCCCTGCTCATCAACTGTCACTCCCCTGTCTGTCTCCCACCTTTTTGTGGGCTCATCTTTTCTGGCTATTTCACATGAATGAATCATACAATATGTGGACTGTTGTGTCGGGCTGTCCTTAGCATAGTGGTTTCTAGGTTCATCCATGCTGTGTCAGTACTTCATTTCTTTGTATTGTCAAGTGCAGGTCTGTTGTATGCATAATACCACACATTATCCATTCATACAGTTCTCCATGTCCTCACCCACACTTGTTAATATGTCTGTGACTATAGCCACCCTAGTGAAGGTGAGGTGGTATCTCCTCGTGGTTTTACTTGCATTTCCTTAATTTCTAATGACATTACGCATCTTTTCATGCGCTTGTTGGTCATTTATATGTCATTTTTTCTGTTCAGATTATTTTTAATATGGTCTAGAAGAGGGGCCCCGGCCCAGATTCATTCTTTCACATAGGATATCTAGTCTATTTTTTCCCCATTAAGTTGTCTGTACACACAGATGTTGAAAATTATTTGGCCACGGATACCAGGGCTTATTTCTGGTTTCTTGATTCTATTCCTTTAATCTTTAATCTTAGAACAGTACCACATCGCCTTGCTTACTGTAGCTTTGTAGTATGTTTTGTAATTGGGAAAACATCCAGATTGTTTTGGCTATTCTGAATCCCTTTGAATTTTCATATAAATTTCAGGATGAATTTATTAATTTCTGCAAAGCTAGTTGGAATTACATTGAAACTATAGATTAATTTGGGGAGTAATTCTATCTTAACAATGTTTAGGTTTCTGATCCATAAACATGGGAAAGCTTCTTGTTTATTTAGGTATTAATTTCTTTTAACAATGAATTTGTAGTTCTTTTTTAAAAAGTGCAGTTTAAAAAGTGAGTACTTCTTGTTAGATTTTTTCTTTTCCTAAGTGTGTGTGTGTGTATATATACATAATAACTTCATTTTTGTATTTTTCATTACAGGTTGGTAGAAATACAATTTTTGTCTATTGATCTTATATCCTGCAATCTTGCTGTTATTTCTGACTTTCATATTAATTCTAATAGTTGTTTACAGGATTCCTTAGGATTTTCTATATATATATGGTCATGTCATCTGCAAGTAGAGACAGCTTTACTTCCTCCTTTCCAATCTAGATCCTTTTATCTCATTTTATAGCCTACTTGCCCTGGTTATAACTCCAGAACAGTATTGACTTGTTTGTGACTATAGGAGAGAAAGTTTCAGTCTTTCACCATTAAATATAATGTTCTCTATGGATTATTCATAAATTCCCTTTACCCTACTCTTTTGTTCCTAGTTTGTATATTTTTTTATGAACAGAAGCATAGAATTTTAGGAAGATATAAATATCTAAATACCTGGAGTTCATACTTCTTCAGCAGGGGAAGTGTATGTTTATTCAGTGTGAATCTGGTCTTGTGTTTATGGAAATGTATTAACTGAACAACCTTTACAAAATGTAGAATATGCTGAAAAATTTTAGCACCATAAAATTTTTCCTTGTTTTTGGATTTTATCCATCTCTTTAGGCAGATGTCTTTTTAACCTCATTAAATTTTATTGACTTTTATTCTTTTCTAATTTCCTTTTTATTACATTTTGTTTTTATTAGAATGCATTCATCTTAAGATATTTAGTAGTTAATTTTTTGCTTCCTCTACAGTAAGAAAGTAATAGTGCTTTATAATTGAAAAGTGTCATCATATAAAATCTTTTGAATCTCCACTTTATAGATTTAAAATAGTGAAGACTAAAATGCATGATCATTTGTCGGGAAGTAGCAGCAGAGCTGGGGTTAAGGGATGTTACTTGTAACTGTTCCTTGACTCAACTTGAACATAACAAACAGAGCATTGGGCTGGGGTTGACTTCCAGGGCAACTTGGCACTGTATTTCCTGGGGCTTGTCACACACTGGGTGGCCTCAAACAAGGAAAATATGTTCTCTCACAATTTTGGAGCTAGAATTTCAAAATCAAGGGTCAGTTCCTTTTGAATGCTCAGGAGGAGAACATGGCCCATGCCTCTCTCCCGGCTTCCTGTGGCTGCCAGCAGTTCCTGGTGTAGCGTGGTCTCCCCTGCATAATGCTGAGCCTCCTCTTTGGCTTGCCTGCCTCTCCACGTGTCTGCTTGCGTCTCTGCGCTTCTGAGGATACTGGTTGTGCTGGCATAAGGGCCTCCTCTAATCCATTGTGGCCTTAGTGTACATCTTAACTATGTCTACAACGGCCCTATTTCCAAATAAGATCATGTCCGTGGGTTTCAGGCGTTAGGACCTCCGCGTATCTTTTCAGAGACATCATTTAACCCATAACCCATAACAGTAACTAACAGGCTTCTCTTCCTTTCCACCCCAGACACCCCCCTAAACGATGGCCCTTGTATCTGCTGATTCCAGAATTGCAGAACTTCTCACAGAGCTCCATCAGCTGATCAAACAAACCCAGGTAAAAAGCCACAGCCCTCAGCTTCTGGCGGGAAACATGGACTGTGATGCAGAGCTGCAGAGGGCAGGTGCGGGTCATGTTCGGAGAGTTGGGGCGCGCAGGACCCCAGGTGATGTCTGAGGATGAGAGGAGGAGGAGGACTGCCATTCCTAGTGGATTTCCCATCATGTACTGGATCTCATATTTTGTTTTGCTTAATAATAACTATATTGAATATTTTTCACATATTGTATAATTTACCCATTGGACGTGTACAATTCAGTGGTGACTAGTGCATTTAAGGAGTTGTAGAACCACCACCACCATCAGTTTCAGAACATTTGCCCCATATCCAGAAGCAGATACCCCTTCACCTTGTTGCCACAGATGAACAAAGATACGCTTATCTGGCTACACATTCCAGGTGTTTAGAAGTTATCTCCCAGGAGCTGGTCGGTCAACAACCAAAGGTTTTTGGGAAAGTGAAAGTGCAGATTTGAAAACGTAGACCTGCTGAGTTAATCTTTTCCTGTACAGGCAAACTTCCCCTTTATCCCTCTCTTAGAGCAAAAACACCTTGTTTGAACATCTATATTGAGTATAGCATTTATGTAACAGGTACAGCAGTAGTACCCTATGAATATGCCCAGAATTTGGAGGCACCAGTGTTGGGGTGTGGGGGGTAGAGATAGACTTAAAAGAAACAACTCATATGTCCTAGAAAGCCATAACATATACTTCCATATTTTTTGGTACATTTTTGGTTTCTCGTTTTCTCCCTTCTTCTTCCACCATTTGTATCTTTATGCTAAATATGTCTAGAACCCTTGTGCTAAGTCCAGTTCTTGCTCAGACCTGCAACTTTCACCAGGGTTGGGTCCAAAAAGGCTTCGACTCCCAGTGTGTGGGGCCTCGGTGTCAGCATTACCGCCTGACCTGTTTACATGAGGTGGTTGATCTTAGCAACAGCCCCCTGTTATGCCATGTAGAAGCAGGGTCATGGTAAACCTCAGTTTTGTTTATGGAACAAACTGGAGGAATTGCAGAGCTACTTGTTTAACCTTCCAACAGAATGGAGTCTTTCTGTTTACCAGATATTGTGATGGACACACTTTATAGAGGTCACCATGATTCAGCTATTTCTAAGTTCAAAGCCGGGTGGGAACAAAGCCAGTCACCTGTCTCAGCTTGTTCTGAGACTGGTTTCCACTGTGTGCAGCTGCCTGCCAGGACCACCTTCTGCCTCTGGGGAGTCACAGGTGATACTCAGCAGAAAATCCTATTCCTGCCCACTCAGAATAAATCTCATTGATCTGATCCAGGTCAAGATAGTGATGGTTCATGTATGACAAGTGTCCCTGAGGCTCCCATAGGTTTGGACGTCCCACGAGACTCAGCAGCTAGGCCGGAGCGCCATTGCCTCTTGGCGGCTTCGGCCTCCTGTGTTAAAGCAGCTGAGACTGTGGTGGCTCAGGGCCTCACTAAAGCTTCATAAACACCTTGCCAGTCTGACTGCCCTTGCCTTGCTCCTGCAAGAAAGCTCATTCTAATGTATTTATTCCAGTTAACACATTTTTTCCTCAGAATGCTGTTTCTGATTAAAGGTCAACTCAACTTGTCCCACAGGGCAGACACCAACCTGTCTCCCTTTGTGTCCTTTCTGTCCATGGACCAGCCCTGTTTCCTCCACCCTGCATTTTGTTGACAATACGTAATCAGCCCTGCAATTAGGAGACATATTTTGTACCCCAAAAAGTTGGGGTCCTCACTAAGCTTAAAGAGATGTAATCATGCCTGGATGTAATTTAGCTTGAGTGTATCATCTGACCTCCCTAAACCTTCTCAACTTTCCCTTTCTCAGGATGGAGCTGCTCCCAAGTAGAATTTGGACCCACCTTATGGTGCCTGCTACTTTAATCCTTTGAGAACTGATTCCCCCTTTTTTAAAAAAGCTTTTCATTCACAAAAGCCAGGGTGACATGTATTTTCACGCTGTGGCCTCTTGGACACACAGGGATCTTTTTATATGAGCACTCACGCTGGGTTATAGTCACATCCAGTGATCAGTCTCGGGGAGCTGTCTGCCACACAGCTGATGGCCCAGGGGAGCAGGTCCTGGGAACTCCTTCCCGCCTGACAGCCTGCTCAGCGGGACCTGAAACAGACAATAGCAACAGATATTAGCACACAGACAGCTGAGTGAAAGAGCTCTGCCTGAAAGGTTAATTATTGCATGGTTCCAACTGTGGGAATTCTGGAGAAGGCAAACTAGAGTGTGAAAAGACCGGGGAGTGCTAGGGGCTTAGAGGGAAGAAGGACGAATGGGGGCAGCAGGGGTTTTTAGGGATGTGAGACTGTACTTGACACGCGTTTGTCAAAACCCCTGGAGCTGCCAACACAGTGAACCTTAGTGTAAATTACGACTTCACTTTAAAACAGTGCGCTGAAATTGACTCATTGATTGTGACCAAGATACCACATTAATACAAGATGTTGTAATAAGTGAAACTATGGAGGAGAGAGGTCTGTGGGCGCTCTCTCTAGCTGCTCGATGTTTCTGTAAACCTAGTTAGTTAATATAGGAAAACCGGCAGATTACCTGGATTCCATTCACCTGTCAGCAGTTAGTGCAGTTTACCATTGTACCGCATGACCAAATGTCTCTCAGAGGGAGACTTGCAGGTTTCCATTTGACTTTGTGAGATACTAAAAGCAGGAATCATCTCAGCCGACAGGACTCCCCCTTTCGGGGGTCTGGTATAGGGCGCAGGTGACGGTATTGTTAGTATTCTTTGGTGCCTCTCAAGAAACTAATGTAATACTGCATTTCCCTCATCATATAACCTGTTTGTTAGTTTCTTTCTCTCCATTTGTCATTGATTTTTACCACACTCTTCTGCCTTTGGAAGGGACCTTGGGCCCAGCCACTGTACAGGTAGTAACTCTGATCAGCAAGTACCTCAGCCCTCAGTCTGTCCCCACCCACAGAAGTGGGGTTACAGAGGTCCAGAGCTAGCGGACTGTTTTGATACCAGGTAGTAACTGTATTAGCGGATGGGGTGAAAGCAGAGCCTACCCACTAAGGCACTTAGGAATCCGACATAAAGTTCAAAGGGTATAGTCACTTTCTTCTTTGGGGATCAGCATTGTTTCTTCACTTGCAGCCCTGGGCCCCAGATCACTGATGGAAGAACTGTGCTGGCATCCTTCCCCAGATGCAGTAATTCTATGTGGGCTCATTTCTAGCCCCACAGTTCTGTTCCTTGAGCTGTATGCTAGCACTATACTATTCGATTACTATAACTTTGCAGTAAATTTTGAAAATGGGAAATATCAGTCCTCCAATTTTGTTTTTCTAGATTATTTTGGTTATTCTGGGTTCCTTGGATTTCCATGACTGTTGGGATGAGCTTGTCAGTGTCTGCAAAGAAGTCAGCAGGCATTTTAATAAGGATGGCACAGACTCTGTTGATCAATTTGTTTCTTTAATAAAGGAACATCATTAAATATATGACTTATGATTTACTTCATATAACTGTTTGCTTCAATGCTGTTTGCAGTGCTTTCACACTAGTCAGGGGGAAAGAGCCTTTGAACTAGTCCTGAATATGGATTTAGAAATGAGGCCCATATTTAGGGGGCCCATGGCCTGGGATGCAGGGTACCACAGCAGAATGAAAGCCTCCACGTCATGTCCCCTTGATCTCATCTTGTAGGAAGAGCGTTCACGGAGCGAGCACAACTTAGTGAACATCCAGAAGACCCATGAACGGATGCAGACAGAGAACAAGAGTGAGTCTCTGGGCTTGGGGGAGAAAGGGGATTTACTTGAAGGAGGACCAAGACTGGGAACAGGCTCTTGCCATTTTCCAAGGAACTTTCTGCATGTGTCTCCATTAGTCTGGATGAGCCATGGTGACCCCAGGCAACAGATGATAGACTGCCTCGCACTAAGCCACCTTAAAATCCCCTAACTCTAGGGACTGGCTGGTCAGTGAAACCCCTGAGTGCACAGGCACCCAGTTAGCTGATGTTCTGGAGGCAGCTGCTCTCGCTGTGTGCCTCTGTGGATCCCTGGGCCGGTGATACCTTAGGAAATTGTGAGCTCGAACATAGGGTTCGTGTCCCTGGGAAGTACTTCTGCGCCGATAAAGATTAGACCGAGGTCCTCCGCCTCTCTGAACCTCCCAAAGTCTGATTCCAGAGTGCTGGAAGTGGTGCCACGTCCCTGCCCGCCCTCTCCCATGCCGTCTCCCCTTGTCGTTGCTCTGCAGTCTCTCCCTACTACCGGACCAAGCTGCGTGGCCTGTACACGACCGCCAAGGCCGATGCAGAGGCCGAGTGCAAGTGAGTACTGTGTGCCGTCCTCTGCGCTCCCCTCTCCCCAGCCCAGGCTGCAGGAGCCTACACCACAGTCCCAGCCTGCTCCCTGTTCCCCAGCGCTTGGGGTGCCCCTTCCCTAGATCCACTTGCCCTGCCCCAGCCCTGCTGTTTACAGAGGCCAGCACCATGTGGGGCGCAGCCAGCACTGCCGCTGAGACTCGGCTGAGGCTTAGGCTCAGGAATAATCCATTGTCATCACAGAACTATCGGTACAAAACAGGGTCAGAGCAGATACAGTACCGAAAACTGGTGTTTTTCAAACTCTTGGCAGTACATTCTCTTACTGTGTGCCAGGTCATGTTCCAAGTACTTTTTCTAATTACTTGATCCTTGAAGCAATCAGAATTTTACAGAGGGAACAAACAGAGGTTACGTAACTGCCAACAGTTACACAACCAGTCAGTGGTGGAGCCCAGTTTTAAACCCTACATCAGTATTTTTAATCCCGTGCCAAAGGGTGGAATGATCACACAGCATACGCATTGTGTGTATGCGCGTGAGGGGTGGGGGGCTGGATATATTATAAAAGAATTAAGCTTTTACTACTACTACATACATTATTCTTTTCTTGGGTCGTTATCTAAGAAATTTATCTCAGGTCTCACCACGGAGTCTCACTCTGCTATTTGCGTCACATGGCTGTGCGCCACAGGGTGATGGCTGACATGCAGGGCCCAGAGGGGTAACCGCTTAGTCAGGGCCCTGATCACTGCTAAGGCGGTAAGCCTGTCCTCCCGTCTGTCCTGTGCTGCGGCCCCACAGCTCCTTTGCTGCCGCCAGCAAGCCTGCAGACCATGCTTGCCCTGCGCCTGTGCGGGCAGTCCTCACTCGAGGGAAGCGAGTGTCCTGCCTTCAAGAGCAAGCAGTCCTGAGAGGAGAGGAACCCTTCTCTGCAGGACAGGGGGCTGGCAAAGGTGGGCTTTGCTGTTTCTGGATCTGGGATGGGTCAGGCAAGAGATTTGGCCTCGGGGGTTGGTAGGCAGACAAGGCAGAGTGCCCTAGCGGAGGGACCGTGTGCAGAGGAAGGAGCGGCAGGACACCGAGGGCCTGCAGGAATGTGGGCTTTATCTTGGAGGCCAAAGGGAACCCGACAGAGATGGAGAAGCAGGAGAGAAACCCCTGGCTACTGCGCAGTGTAGATTGGGTAAGACGGTGCTAATTTAAGAGACCAGACCAGGGACGAGGGTGGAGGTGAACTGACACATGGGTGGTGAAGATGGAGGAGCAGGGATGGGGTCAAGGACAGCTTTTGAGATTGAGTGGGGGAATCAGTTGCAAGAAATGAAATCGAAAATACCAGGGTTTTCAGCTTGGAAGGGATCTGATGGGTGCCCTAGGTCAGTAGCCTGCTCTTGACTCTCCAGCCCACCCTTTCTCATCGCCATCTTGTCTGACTTGCAGATTTATCATCTGGCCTGATGTCCCTTTCCCATTCTCGTGGGCTGGAGTTTGGCTCACATTAAAAATAAATGGGAGTGACTCACGCTGATTTCATAGTAAACAGCAAACCTTCCCAGCTAACTGCTGGCAAAGTGATGTGGTGTTTCTGCTCTGAGCTCCCTGCGGGTTTGCTCCAGGGTAATTCACCCCAAGTTAAATATGTGTAAGCTGTTTCAGAACTGAGTTGTTTACTGATGTAGCATCTTGTATCTTGCACTTGTGCTGCTGCTGCTTCACCTCTGCGGGCTTCAAGTGTTGTTCAGTCACAGCAGGTTTTATTGTTTCTCCTTTTACGGCACTTCACTGATGAAGTGTTTTTCCCAAGATTGTCCACCAGCAAAAAGAATGACTTCCTGAAGGCTCACGTGATGGTGGCATTTCTTACTGGAGGATTTTAGGGCAGGCACATTTTAAGATGTGATGCTGCTGCACAGTCATGGACTACAGCAGGGTGTAAACATGGTGTGTGCTGAGAAACCAAACATTGATGTGACTTGATGTATTGCCTGTGGGCCTTGTTGCAAAGGCCTTGGAAACACACCTCTGTAAAGAGATGAGAACCTTGGGGTGCATGCAGTGGGAGCTGCTAGTGGGGGGAAGGTTAGAGCTTGAGGCTCTTGGCTGCCCTCAAAGGAATGTCAGCCAGAAAGAAGCCCTTCAACGGCACCAGGCAAAGTGGGGCTCGGAGCAGCACCATCCCCGAGGGCTGCTGCCAGGCTGCTGCTCATCAGAAGGCAGGACACACAGATGGCATGAAGCTTTTATGGCTCTGAGGTAGAGATGCTTCAGTTCCAGAGAACTGGATTGTCTAATAGTAAATGATCTTACATTGTCTTTCCTCGGATCTCTGCAGTAAAACTGCAGTAGGAAATGGCCTGAACTGTAGGAAATCTTCTAAAGCTCCCACAAGCCTCCCCTACAGATTCACAATGCGGGTTAATGCCAAGATCTTCAGCAACGATTTAGCTCACTATTCCACAAACTTACTCGCTAGGGGAACACACTCACAGTTTCCCAGGTCTTGAGGCGCCCAGAAGTCCTAACTTAATTGGGGTGGAGTCCAGCCTTTATGTTTTTCAGTAATTTGAGACTTACATCAATGTTCTACTAGTTTTGCTTCATCACTCTGTAGAGACATTATTTTTTCGTGAACTGTTTATATGCAGACATGCTCGTCCTTGACCTTTCATCAGTTTCCTAGAAACAAAGACATGCCTGAACAATCCAGTACATTTCTCAAAATCAGCATTCTAATAGAAAACTTTTAACTAATCCACGGAGTTTATTCAGATTTCAGCCTGTCCACTAATGTTCCTTGCAGCAAAAGAAAACACTGTCCTCGTGCCTGCTGCGCAAGTTAGCGCGGCTCAGCCTCCTTGTGTGGCGCTGTCTCGGGCGTCCTTTCCTTTCTGGCCCCATCTTAGACCGTAGTGATTTTGCAGGACACTTGTGTTGGTTGGCTTGCATTTCCTCATGACTGGATTCCAGATTTATGTTCTTGGCAGTCAGAGCAGGGAAGTGAAGTCCTGGGTGTCAGGAGGACAAGATGCTGCCCCATGGTTCAGGCGGCCACTTCCCAAGCTCCCGTGTCAGCTGCTACAGTTTTCCCATCACGTAATTCATACTCTTCTGGGAAGATGCTCTGACACTGTGAAATACTTGTTTCACACCAGGCCCACTGTTTTCCACGGCTGTTGGATGCTTGCCTTCAAGAAGTAGTTTTCTAAACTCCCCAGCAGATTCTGTTGCCCAGTGAGGGCTGAGTTCCCTCTAGTGCCTCACAGCCCTTCCGACGGGCTCCGGGACCCTGACTGCTTGTACCCCAGACCTGCCCACAGCCTGTGGAGACGCTGAACCCTGGTGTCCTGTTAGCCAGGCTCCAGCATCTGGGCTGCCCCTACTGCTGCTGCTGCGGACCCTGGAGTGCTGCCTCGCACCCTTTGGGACACCCTTTGTGATGTGTTTCATGGGTCTCCCTCCTGCTGCAGGGAAGGCCTCAGAACCCTGGGTTTCTAGCAAAGGTTTGCTAGGGGAATGGACTGGGGTTTGGCTACCGGAGAGGAGAAGTGACCCAGTGGGGTCTTTGCTGCTTACCTCATTTAAGTATTCTTTGGCGGAATCCCCCAAGGTCTGGCATAAAGAAGCCTTCTCTCCGAAAGGGCTGCTGCTTTTGCTGGGTCCTGGTGCCCCTGCCCGAGCCTGTAGACTCTGCAAAGGGCTGCAGCCCTCCAGGACCCAGCGTGCTCAGCCCCACCCTGCTCTGAGCCCAGATAGTCACGCACGTCCTCCTTCTGGGTAGCTCTCTGCACGCACTTCACGGGCAGACTCCGCTTTAACATCCGAGCCCCAGGTCCGGGGCTGCTGGCACCCAGCGGCTCCTTCAGCCTTTGCCTCACACTCCGCGGCTCGCCCTGCTCCGCTTGCCTCCTGGGCTCCTCTTAACTTGAAGGCATAATATTTCCTATCATTTAAATTCCTTTATGCTTTTAAGGTTAAAAAATGCATACTTAGGGTTTAGCTTTCTGCAGCAGGGTTGGCCTGGACTACTGGCCTGCTGTAACCAGAGAAAGAAGTCTTTCTTTGTACTTCATCAAGACCGCTTCTCTCCCTTCTCCCACCCTCAGCATCCTCCGGAAAGCCCTCGACAAAATAGCAGAAATCAAGTCTCTGTTGGAAGAGAGGCGGATTGGTGAGTTGGAGTTGGGCATAGGGCAGGTGGGGAGCAGGCGCCTGAGAGCAGCCTCCGACCCCACAGCGCAGCGCAGAACCTGGCCTGGTGTGTGGGAAGGGCTGGAGACCCTTCCCAGGGCACGGGCAGCCGCTCCCCAGTCCTCCCTCTGCAGCCGAAGCTGCCCCACAAGTTTCCCTGCCCCTGCTGCCTGGGCAGTTGCCACCTCCTGCCTCCTGCGTGAGAGCCACGCCCTGGCTGCCTGGGCAAGGCCTTTAGATGACATTGACACAAATCCCTGGCACTGCCTGGCTTTCCCACCTGTCTCAGCCTCTCAGTGAACCCTCAGTGGGTCAGCTTCTCACCCAACAAAAACTTGTTGGGGGTGGGGTTTTTCATTGTTGTTTTCCTACTTTTTGGTGCATGACAACATACATGACTTGAAAAGTATGCAAAAGTCTACATATGCGTCCGATTTTCAGTGAAATTTCCACTAACCGAACTGGTAGGACTGGCACTTCGAAAGCCCCACCTTTGCCACTTTCTAGTTCATTGCCCCGAGGGAACCCCCCAAGCCAGCATCCTGCCGCTCCATCAGTGCAGCCTGGCGTCTTTCACCGCAGATAGGACAGGAGTCCCCAGGGCCCGGGGCTTACTCAGAAGGCGGGGCTCCAGGCCAGGCTGCTCTGATGGGTGCTGGGCAGGTCTGGGGGCACACCTTTCTGGGGTGCCTCAGGGACACATGTCTTCCCACAGCGGCCAAGATCGCAGGCCTGTACAATGACTCAGAGCCCCCGCGGAAGACCATGCGCCGGGGGGTGCTGATGACCCTGCTGCAGCAGTCGGCCATGACCCTGCCCCTGTGGATCGGGAAGCCTGGTGACAAGTGAGGGCGGGCCCGGGGCTGGGGGAACTGGTGAGGAGGGACTGGGACTAACACTTTATTCCACCCACAGGCCCCCGCCCCTGTGTGGGGCCATTCCAGCCTCTGGGGACTACGTGGCCAAACCCGGGGACAAGGTGGCTGCCCGGGTGAAGGCCGTAGATGGGGATGAGCAGTGGATCCTGGCCGAGGTGGTCAGTTACAGTCATGCCACCAACAAGTAAGTGACCAGCCAGCCTAGGGCTGCCACACCTTCGCCCTCCACAGGAGCAAAGTGACCCCCCAAGATGGGGCTAGGGGTGGCATGTGAGCAGGAAACCCTCTTGGGCTCCTCCCTGTAGCCACCTTTCTCTTTTATTCACTTGTAGGTATGAGGTAGATGACATCGATGAAGAAGGCAAAGAGTGAGTAATGTTTGGGGGGGCTGAGGGGGCCTCGGGTGCAGCTGGTCTGCTGGGAAGGAGTCCCCAACTTGGCCACCAGCTGACTACGCCCCTTCCAGGAGACACACCCTGAGCCGGCGGCGGATCATCCCCCTGCCCCAGTGGAAGGCCAACCCTGAGACGGACCCTGAAGCCTTATTCCAGAAGGAGCAGCTTGTGCTGGCCCTGTACCCCCAGACCACCTGCTTCTACCGTGCCCTGATCCACACACCCCCACAAAGGGTACGGCAGCCCTCATGGGGGAGAACACTCATGACGTGAAGAACAGGCTGACAGACGGTCAAGGGAGCATCTTCCCGCTGTCCGCTCGTCCTCATGTTGGCTGAGCTAGGAGGGGCCAGTGAGCTGCCCCCCTTCTCGTGCTTACAGCGTGCCCTGCCACCTGCCCAGCCCTGTCCTCAGGGCAGCGCCGCCTCAGCGCCTTATGCTGACTGGTGGGACCAGCCCTGTCTCCCACCCAGCCTTGCTTTTGCACTCTCCTGGCCCGAAGCTGCTTTCCCTCATGCTCCTGATGGCATCTCTGGCCCCCACCCCCAATAAGCAGATTAAAGGCTCATCTTCTCTCCTTCATGGTGCCCGCCTGCTGGCCTCTGGGCTATCCTTGATCCCCAGAGTGCAGGGTGCTGGCGAGGCGCCAGACTCCAGCCCAGGGCTCACCCATGCAGGTCTCCAGCCACCCTTCTTCCTGCCCAGTGTCCCGCTTGGGCCTTCGTTACCGAGCAGCGAGCTTTACAGCAGCAGGGGCTGGGCCAGACATCTAGGCTCTCTGACAGGAGAGAGGTGGGGAGCCCGCACACTGGGGGTTCCCGTCAGTCTAGGCTTGGGGAACCTCTCTTTGGACTCTGACCACCCTCTCTGTTGCCCGCCACAGCCCCAGGATGACTATTCAGTCCTGTTTGAAGATACCTCCTACGCAGATGGCTACTCCCCCCCGCTCAATGTGGCCCAGAGGTACGTGGTGGCGTGCAAGGAGCCCAAGAAGAAGTGAAGCAAGCTGGCAGACGAGCTCTCCCGCCACCTTCCAGGCAGAATGCAACAGGTTTTGTGATTAATAAATATTCTGCCCCTCACCCTTGTCTCCTGCACTTTATTTTTCCAGGCCCTTCTCCCCTGCCCGCTCACTACAGGGCAAGCGGAGGCAGTGCAGGCTTCGTTTGGTCCCACTGGGCATCTATTTTGCTCAGGTTCGCTCTGGCTCCCCACAGAGGCTCCCCACAGCGGCTCCCCGTTCACCACCACTGTCCTTCATCCTTGAGCTGGTTTCTGGGCTGCTGCCACACCCTCCCTCCGAGGCACCAATGGCAGGCGCCACTCACAGCTCTGAGCGGAAGGTGAGCTCGCAGCCTGCCATCTTCTCAGCATAGTCGGCGTCAAAGCGCTCATTCTGGGCCACAGTGAAGGTGTTTTTCCAGTCCCCAGCGATGCCTGGGGAGAGGAGCGGGGGCTGGAGGTCAGGCAGAGGCCCCCCACCCTCGCTCCCCACTCGCAGCCGGCGGCACTCACCTTTCCTCATGAAGTGGGAGATGCGCTGGTCCATGATGTTAGTGGGTATGGCGTCGTAGTTGGCCATGCTGTTCTTCTTCATCTCCTTGAAAGATGTTTGCTGGACAATACGGTCCACGATCTCCTCTGGCAGGGAGCGCCCCAAAAACTTCAGGATCTTCTGAATTTCCCTTTTGGGGTTCTGCACAGCAGAGGGGCTCTTCAGCAGAGGTTTGGGTTGCTCATTCTGCCAGCAGAAAGGAGGCCCCTCCCTAACCTTGTGGGGCTCTGTCCACTGTAGCTTAGAGACCCCTCACCCCTGAACTCTGCTCTTCCTCTGGGGCAGATTGCACTGTGTTTGCCCTGTGACTCTAAGAAGCTGCATTTATTTCCTGAAGGGTAAAGGGGGGCCAGGCCTTGTTCAGAACTATGACCCCACTAACAGTAAGTGAAGACCGATGATGCCCTGCAGGGCTGACTGGGGCTCCAGGTGGGGGAGCCGGGCAGCGCCTGCTGTGAAGGCGCCCTTGTGGCTGAGTGCTAGGAAGACTGGTGTTGGGGCTGCCACAGGGGAAGGTTCCCCCTGCCCCCAGGGTCCCACCTCCCACAGGTGACAGAGAGGGGAGTGGCAGCAGGTGGCCTTACCTCCTTCATGTCCTCATAGAAGAGATAGAGAAGAGGGTGGGTGCGACCCAGCTCCCACCACTCCTTGACGTGCTGGTGCCAGGACCCGTAGGACACTGAGCAACATGCAGAGGCAGTTAGTCTCGGCAGGCGCCCCCCACCTCTCCGCCCGCTTTCTCCAGTTAGACCCACCTTCCCCAGCCATAAATATCTCCAGGAAGTTGTCCCACGTGCCAGGGTCAGGGTGCACCTTGCACATGTTGTAGAAATGGTAAAAGGAGACGGCCACATCCTTCGCATTGCGGGCAACATAGATCACCTGGAGAGGCAGAGGGCCCAGCCCCGCCATCAGCACACAGCACCACTAGCCTCTGCCTTGCTCGGCATCCTGGCCTCTGGCAGGGCCGTTCTCTCTTGCTTTGGCCAGGGGAAAACAGGCCTAGGGGCTCACCAGCTCCAGGTCCCATGCTATGGGTGCGGAGAGCTGGAATTTGAACCCTGCCCCGCTGCCAAAGTCCCAGCTGGCCCGGAGCCTTATTTAACACTAATCTAATCCCCTTGACGCTGCTGCACCAAAATGGGAAGCAAGGTGTGCTGGTTCTCGGCAGCCCCTCCCACAGGCCTGGGCCTGCCCCCACCCACACACTGCTTTTCTTGGCCTTGCACAGTGGGTTTGAGCTTCCCTCCCCTCCCTGAACAGGAGGCTGGAGGAAGTAGGACCACCGCAGACACAAGGCAGAGCTAGGATGGCCCCAGCAGCCCCCTCCCCTGGCTTCCTCCGCCGCTCACCTTGACCTTCTGATCCAGCAGCGTCTGTGGGACCAGGGCCAGGGGCAAGTGTGTCTTGAGGAGCCGTGGAACTGGTGTATCTTTCAGAGTCTCAAAACCTAAGTCGTGGGGAAGTGGGGACAGGTCAGGTGAGCCGGAGCCCAGGCCCTGTCCCCTTGCCCCTGATGCCCTTTCACACACCTGAGGGGACCCCTGGGGCCTTGAATTCAAGAAAGGGCACCCGTATGAAGATGGGGGCCCTGCGACACTTCTCCAGGTCGCCGTCCTGGTAGATCATGTCCAGGATCTCACTCACCCAGGTGGTGCCTGGAGAGGAAGGGGAAGGAGGAGCAGGGCTGGGAGGAGTTGCAGCTGGCCAGGGGAGGGGCTGCAGCTCAGGGTGGATTGGGTGGCCCTCACCTACCGGATTTGGGATAGGTGCTGATGAGCAGGTCATCAGGTCTGGCCCTGAAGCTCTGTAGGGGCCCCAGTGCCTCTGCGAAGTACTTGATGAGAGGGACCCCCTTCACGTACTCCAGCGGGGGGCGGGAGGTGTCCGGGACCTGCTCCATGCTGCTGCGTCAGGGCTGGGCTGCGGGCTGCTTCCCTTAACAACACAGCTGTTGGATTCTCACTCTAACATCAGGAAACAGGCTCAGGGAGCCCCAGCGACCTGCCTCCCTGCACCAAGCCAGTGAGTGGAGCCTGAATCTAAAACCAGGTAGAGCACAGTGCGGCACGTTGCAACTCTGGCTGCATTCAGACACCTCCATGGCCTTAGAAACCCCCAAATAGTTCACACACCTTCTGGGGCTGTGGCCCAGGTATCAGATTTTTGGAGACTTTTCAGGAGAGTCCCAAGTACACTTGAGAAAATGACTCTGCTGTGGACACACTGCGAGCCAGTTTTCTCTTTCTGACACCATCCCACTGCCTGTGGCTTCTGCCATTCCCACAGGGCTCCTCTCCTGCCCTCCCCTCCTTGGGCTCCCTGGGCCCCTCACACAAGAGAAGCTCCCAGGACCGGCTGGGCCTCAGCGCCTTAATCCCATCTGCCCAGCCACACTCCATTGTGGCTTAGAGATGAACAGCCAATTGAGCAGTGAGCTGCTTTGAGCCGTGGGAATCTGGTGTTGAAGGAACAAAACCAATGACTCAGCAAAAGAGGGGAGAGGGATTCAGGCTGGGGAAGCCACAGGAAGGCGCCTGGGCTGGGCCGGAGGAGGGCAGTCCAGCTAGCAGTGAGAGGTCCTCCCTACCCAGCCAACCAGCACTCACCTCCCCTCGGGCCAGGGCCTGCTGGGGCACTGCGAGTGGGTTTGGAGCCAGAGTGCAGAGGTGCTCTCTCAGCTGCAAGTTTTAAAGGTCCAAAGTGGGAGGGCCTGGAGCCAGCGCTGGGATTTAGCAGTCCTACGGGAGGAAAGGGTGGAGTTTGGGGCGGGAGGAAAGGGTGGAGTTTGGGGCGGGAGTGAGGGGGGAGTGGAGGACCTTCCTTGTTAGCCCCCTTAGCATCTCAGCTGGAGTCAAGCTTAGATTGGCAGAAAAGCCAAAATAAGGGTTTAATGTGTAGAAAATATAAGCCTGCAATCAGACAAAAGGGTCCCGAAGGGCTCTTTGTTGTCTCTGAGCTGTAATCCTGTCTCCTGGCCGCCCTCTAAACTCCACCCCAGCAGGGCAGGCCTTTTCTAGCCAACCCAGCCTAAAGAGGTCAAAGGGGGGGGAGAAAGGTGGAGCAGTCAGGGTTGGTGAGGCAAGGCCACTCACCTTGCCTCTGGCTCCGGCCCGGAAGCCCAGGCCACTCAGGAAAGCAGGTTTTGACCAGCGGCCAATCCAGAGCCACACAGGTGGACAAAGTGAAGTAGCTGGGGGCGAGCAGGGCAGGCAGGCTCTTGGGGAGGCAGCCTGTGCCCAAGGATCAATCCCAGTCACGGCTCCCTCGTGACGGCCTGGAGCCTCATGGTTACAGGAGAAAGAATGGCCCCCAGAAGATGTTCTTTCCCGGGATCGCAATGGACTGAGGAGCTGGGGCTTAGAGGGCCACAGGGCCCCATGCAGGGAGAGCATTCCCCTCCCCTTCCCTGACCTCTGTCCTTAGTATCTAGATTAAAGTGCAAAGTCTAGTGGACATCAAAGACAGGTGAACACTTGAGTCAAGGGTGTGGGTCTCCCAAACCCTCAAAGAATCATGACTTCAGAGGCACCAGGGGGAACACTGGGGTCTGGGGCCTCTGGGTAGAGAGGTAGGTCCAAGCTGGGCCAGCGGCCCCTCCCATCGAACACCAGAAGGTACCCTTAACTCAGTCTTTTTATTGTACTCAAGTAAAAATGCCCAGCCCTACAGGGGGTGGCACAGAAAAGGAATCGGTGGGGGCAGGGTGGGGAGAGAGAGGATCAGGTCTCCAGCATGTCTGTCCAATGTTCCTGTAGAGACAAGAGGGCTGGTCACAGGGAGCCCAGGGGTGAGGTGGGATGGGAAGGCAGGGCCCAGGTCACGGCTCACCTCTTCTAATTCCAAGTCTTCCTCTTCGTCCTCAGTGCCCATCCTGCACAGCCAGATCAGGTCTCCCCACAGCAGTGAGTTGTTACAGCTACCAGGAGTGCAGTTAGGTGACAGAGTCAGGCTTCATAAGCCACCTTCAGGCTAGGCCTAGGTGCCAAGCCCGTTGTGAGCTGCCCCAGGCCTGGACTTGGGCAGCTGGGCACTGGGAGCGATACCAGACTGGGCTGGGGTTGGACTCACCCAGGGCATTGGCCCTCTAGCGGCAGAAGCTGGCCTGGCTCCTCCTGCAAGAACTCCTCTGCCAGGCAGATCATATGGGCCCTCAGGAGGCAGCCAGGGTGGGGGCAACACAGGGGCCCCTCTTCATCCTGTCACAGATGGCAGGCAACAAGAGAGAAAATGGGGAGTAACAATGTAGCTAACATTCAGGGAATTTCTATGAATCACAGTCTGGGGGCCTTACATAAGATAACTCAACAGGGCATGTACTGAGTTACATTTTATAGATGAAGAAATTGAGGCACAGAGAGGACTTAGTCTCCAGAGGGGCTAAGCTGGACAACTTTCTATGAGCCTTAGCAGTGGTCATGACCACTACAGCCAGAGCCAGAGTTCCGTGGGGCTAAGTGATCACAGGTGTGTTACTTGAGCTCTGGCGAGCACTCACCTTATTTACATGCACTGAGCAGAAGTCAGGTGCATCACCTGTTCATTTATTAAAGAGTTGCTGGCCATCTGCTGTGTACCAGACCCTGCTCTACGGTAGTGAACAAGAGCTGCCCTTGTGGAATTAGTATGTACGCTAGCGGGACCGTCTGATAAGAAAATATATGATATGTTAAGACAGTAGTCTTAAGGCTTGGGGGAAAAAAAAACAAAAACAGAGGCAGGGAAGCACACAAGAAATTGCAATTTTTTCCAGTCAAAGGGGAAGGGGAAAAGCCCCAAGCAGGAGAGTCAAGTAATGGCTTAAGGACTACTATCATCCTATTTCAGAAAGGTGGGCCGGGCAAGCGCGCCGGTGGGGCTGTTTGATCCTAAGTCTTCTGCACCCTAGACACATGCTGACCTGGATCGCGTGCGCACACAGGGTGCAAAGGGCCTGGGAGTCCTGGCCTGCAGCGGGAGCAGCGAGGCACCTCCGGGTCGCTGGCGGCGGAGGCCCGAAAGTCAGCGGCACGTGCGGCGGCGGTGGCGGGGAAAGATCCTGGCGGAAGTCCTGGCGCAGCCAGCGCAGTGTAAGCGGGAGGCGCGCCCAGGGCGGCGCGCGGAGCATGTGCGCCAGCACCCGCAGGTGGAAAGCGAAGGAGGCCTCACCCCGCTGGCGCGGGCCCACGTGCGCCAGGCGACGCGAGGCGTGCGGGTGCTGCCAGGCCCACTCGAACTGCGGGCAGAGAGGAAAGGGCTTCAGGGCCTTCCCGAGATGGGGGACGCGGCCCAGAGTCTAGCCGTCCTCCCGCCGCCCCCATCTTCTTACCCGAAGGGCGGCCACGGCGGAAGGGAAGCCGTGCACAATGAGCACCATCTCCCTGGGGAAGAGAACGAGGGAGCGCTGAGCCTTCTGCCCCACCCCGAGTGGAGCCGAACCCCTTCGCCATGGTTCACGGCCAGTCCTCGGGGAAAGTGGAATCACACTGCCAGGTGCCCCGCCCCCTCGGGGCGGTAGTTCGCGCGCACCCAGTGGAAACCCTAGTGACAGGTGTCCCGCCTCCGGTGACGGGTACCGAACCCCCCTCCTCCGTCCGTCTCCCCTCTAATCCAGCCCAGCCTCGTTCACCTCCCCCGGACCAAACCTACACCTTCACCCCCTCCGACCAACTCCCCGGGTCTGCGGAGGTGTG